CATCAAAGAGATAAATTTCCATATGATGTTACAGAAAGAAAAGAATCTTCTTGGGAGGTGCTGCTTCTCCCCTAGCCCATGAGGAGCGATATGTACTAATGAAGACCCTTCTCATCTATGAGCCACGGTGCTAAGCACCCTGCGCAAACGATCTGATGTACTTCTCACAGCACTGCCACGTGGTGGATAGCATTCCTCTCACTTTGCAATGAAAAAGCCTGAAGGTTAGAGAGGTTAAATAACCCGCTTGAGGTGCCCAACGCCATCTGGTAGGTCTGGATTCAAATCCAAACCTGTAACACCAAAGCCTTAAACAATAAAAGGTGAAAAAGCAAGGAATGAGAGGGAAACGTGTCCATGCGGACATCTGGACATCCCCCTTTCCCTTGTGTGGCTCTGGCTGCCTGGACTTAAAGGCAGACCGCAGCCCACATATCCCAAGGTATGGGGCCCAAAGTGACCATGTTAATTTGTCAGGCCTTCGGACAGGTCACTCAATGACAACAGCTGATATTTATGGAGTGTATCGCCGGTGCCAAGCACTGGTAGGATCTTCATACGTAGTCCACTTGATAGGAGAAGAGTTCTAGTTGCGGCTTCACAGGCCTCACTGGGAAGTGGGAGGGGGGCGGGTCTCCTTCCCCTTCACCACACCATCCCAGGCTGTACACATGGAACAACTCACTTTACTGGCCACGTTGGAACCATTGGAAAGGGAACCGAAATTCAGTAGAGGAAAGGTGAAAGTTCTTGATGAATCTGATTCTCCCAGAGTTGCGAGGGAAAGTAGCACAAGATTAGGACTTCGGTGGGTTAGGGTGGATGATTCTCCTAAAGTCTGGCCCTGAATGTCCCACTTTCTCAAGCATCTTCTACTATTAAGACTTTTGGGAAAACCTCTTTGAGTCACTGGAAACCACTGGGAAGGCTCTGTTCCATCTCCCTCCTCTCTCCAGACATTTCCTCATTCAAATGAGCAGCTCAGCAGGACTATCAGCTCTGCTAGGACAAGCAAGTCCTGAAGACCCACCAGAGGTAGCGGGAGCTGGGGCGAGGCTCAGACTCACCAGGGTCTGTGGCTGATGGGTATGGGTCATCCAGGTCAGATTATCTTTGTGCTATTCTCTTCAGCAAACATGGCTGTGGCAGTAGCTTTTGAACTTGTTAAATTTAACAAGAAGTGGTTAATTAAGAAGTTTTTCCTCAATAACAAGGTGCTTCCCCTTTCCCTTGAAGAACCTGAACCCGTTATAACCCACAGGAGGGTTTAGTCAGTTTCTCATTTTGCTTATCAGAGCAATGGAGGAGGCGTGTGGCTCATGTCTGTAATCTCGGCGTTTTGGGAGGCTGAGGTGGGAGGCTCATTGAGCCCAGGAGTTTGAGACCAGCCTGGGCAGGGCAACATAAGAAAATTTAAACCTTAGTTAGGTGTGGTGGTGTGCCACTGTAGTCCTAGTTGTTTGGGAGGCTGAGGTGGGAGGATCATTTAAGCCTGGGAGATTGAGGCTACAATGGGCAGTGATCATGCCACTGCACCCTAGCCTGGGTGACAGAGTGAAACCCTATCTAAAAACAAAGAAAAAGAAAAATGCAGGAGTTACTTAGACCAAAAAAAGCTTTATTCAGATATAATTCAAGTATGATGCAATCCACCCATTTAAAGCACACAATTTGATGGTTTTTACTACAGTATATTCACAGTTGCACACCATCACCACTGTCAGTTTTAGAATACTTTCATCACCCTAAAATTAAGCCTTATATCCATTAGCAGTCTAGGCAACCACTAATCAACTTTATGCCTCTATAGATTTGCCCTTTATGAACGATTCATATAAATTAAGTTGTACAATACTGTATGTGCTATTCTGTGACTTGCCTCCCTCACTTAGGGTAATGCTTTCAAGGTTCGTCCCTGGTGTAGCATGTATCAGTACTTTATTCTTTTTTATGGATAAGTAATATTTCATTGTATGAATATGCCACTTTTTGTTTATCCATTTATCAGTTTATAGATTTTTGGTTTGGTTTGACTTTTTAGCCATCATAAATAATGCTGCTGTGAACATTTGTGTACAAGTCGGTGTGTGCACATATGTTTTTTCATTTCCCTTGCGTATATATGTAGGAGTAGACTTGCTTGATCATAGCTCTGTTAAACCTTTAGAGGAACTATCAAAATGTTTTCCAAAATAGCTGCACTATATTACATTCCCACCAGTGGCATATCAGGGTTTCAATTTCTCCACATTCTTGCTACAACATTATTATTTATCTTTTTTATTACAGTCATCCTAATAGGCATGAAGTGGTACCTCACTGTGGTTTTGATTTGCGTTTCCCGATGGCTCATAATGTTGAGCATCTTTTCTTGTGCTTATTGGTCATTTTTGCATCTTCTTTGGAGAAATGTGCATTTACATCCTTTTCCTGTTTTTATTTAATTAATTTATTTATTTAAGAGGGAGTCTTGCTCAGTTGCCCAGGCGAGAGTGTACTGGTACGATCTCAGCTCACTGCAACCTCCACATCCCAGGTTCAGGCAATTCTCCTGCCTCAGCTTCTCTAGTAGCTGGGATTACAGGTATGAGCCACTATGCCCAGCTAATATAGTATTTTTAGTAGAGACAGGATTTCTCCATGTTGGTCAGGCTGGTCTCAAACTCCTGACCTCAGGTGATCCACCCGCCTCAGCCTCCCAGAGTGCTGGGATTACAGGCATGAGCCACCAAGCCTGACCTTAAGTTAATTTTTGTATATGGTGTGAGATAGGGGTCAAACTTTATTAGTTTGCATGTGGTTATCCAGTTGTTCCAGCAGCAATTGTTGGAAGGACTATTCTTTCCCTGTTGAATTGTCTTGGCATCCTTGTTGGCAATCAATTGACCAGTAAGTTTGAAGGTTTATTTATGAACTCTTGATTTTATTCTTTTTTTTTGGAGATGGAGTCTCACGTCACCCAGGCTGGAGTGTAGTGTGCAGTGGCGTGCTCTCAGCTCATAGTAACCTCCACCTCCCAGGTTCAAGCAAATTTCCTTCCTCAGCCTCCTGAGTAGCTGGGATTACAGGTGCCCACCACCACACCCCGGCTAATATTTTGTATTTTCACTTCAGATGGAGTTTCGCTATATTGACTAGGCTAATCTCCAACTCCTTGCCTCAAATGACCTACCTGCATCAGCCTCCCAAAGTGCTGGGTTTACAGGTGTGAGCCACCATGCCTAGCCTATTCTATTGTTTTATATGCTGTCCTTATGCCAGTACCAGAAATTACGTTTTAAATCAGGGCTGCTTTTCTTCTTGCCCCAGGAGGAGCTCCTGGTTGGCAGTTCCCTTGTTCACAATTTAGTCTTGGAAGGAGGATAATGTCAGAGAGAAAGGAGGGGAGGTAGCCAATTATTTATGTCTGTATTTTCTCGGGCTATTCTCATTTCTCCAAGAGTGGGACTCTATATCATGGAGGTATTGTTAGTGATGCCCTCACTCATTTATTCATTTTCAGTGCATGGTGATACGCTGCAGCTTGTCCCTGACTAATTAAGGGGTTCTATAGATAATACTACCTGGATTCCAATAAACTAAATTTGCCGACCTTTTATGTGAAGGCCAGAGGCTGTTGGTAGTACTCTAAATATCAAAACATGTCTGTGTATGTGTGCATACACATACAAAGTGACCTTTAAAATAAAGGTGTTATTTAACAATGATTGACAGAATGACAAACTCCTTTCCCAAAGAAAAATATTAAGGAGGAGAGGGCATTTGGAAAACAGATCTTTAAAAATATTTCAGAGTTATGTGGTTTGGTTGTAAATACAAGTATGTATTTATAAAAACTCATAGCTGCATACTTTTAAAACTTGGAAATCAAAATTTCTAACCCACTTAGGGCTAAAAGGAAATGTTTCAGAGTTCTTTTTTTTTTTTTTTTTTTTTTTTTNATAAGAGAAAGATAGTGGTAAATATATGGTTGAAGAGATAAGCAAGGGCCAAGTGATACCAGTGATCTGAGGTGTAAAGGTTTGCTTAGGACTGGCTCAGTTTATGCCTGATGTGCTAATAAATTTATTAATAGCTCTGTCTTTCACTTTACAATGTATCCTAGTTTGGTTACTCTGATGGCATAATAGAGATTAGATTTAAGTTAGCTATTACTAGAGGCAGGGAAGCCATCAGAAACCTGTCTCTGTAGTCCAAAAGTTACGTGAACATTTGAATTTTAAAACTATAGTGGTCAGAATGAGAAGACTGTTGTTTAAACATCTAGATGACCAAGCCATGGTAACATGGGCCAGATTTAATGACATATTTAATGTGGTGAGAGAATGATTGCCTAGTTTGAGATGGAGACAATTGATTTGTTTATGGAGATTACTACATTAAGGATCGGCTTAGAGGAGAAAAATGAGCTAAACTTACACCTTACACATTGTAAATTTGGAGTTGAAGTGAAGAATGAGGGGGTATTTGTGGGTGCAGGTCTGAACCAGAGATAAGAGGTTAGATGTTGTCAGTCTAGGTAGCCTTGGGCATGATCCGGTATTTGAGGAAGGGTTGTGCAGTGAGAGGAAAATGGGATCCAGAACTAGAGACAGGGAACAGCAGCATTTTAGAAGGTAGCAGAAGAGCACAACTTGGGAAGCGACCTGGGGGAAGTTGTTACAGAAAGGAAAGCAAGCAAGCAAGGCTTTTTCCACAGAAAGGGAACAGTTATATAAAACTCAGAGAAGGCAGATAAAGGCTGAAAAGATGTTACTAAATGTAGAAATTAAAACATCTGGCCTCAGATTTTTTTTTTTTTTTGTTATAGCACAACTTATATATTTCAAATGGACAAAAAGTTAGTATCATTTACAGTATCTTAAGATAAATTTCCTTTGAATGGGAGCTTCCTTTCCAGTACTTTGAGGTCTGCAAGACGTATCTAGAAAATTTACTACTGTGGAAAATGAAGACTGCTTAAATCGAATGAGGGGGAAAGGAAGGGCCTGTGGTTTTTCTTTTTGATTAATTGCTGTAACACTGTCCTTCAGGCGGCTGAGGGAGTTTCATATTTTCTTTTGACATCATTAGGCGCCGAAGCTCTTGCAGGACAACTTTGATGCTATATGAATTCTGCCATTTTGCTAGCACTGATATGGCTCTTGGGTCCACCACTCCATTAGAACTATTAACTCCATTCATATGAATTTTTGTTACAAATCTTACAAAGGGGGGTGCTTCTGGGTATTTAGGTCCACATTCTATTTTAAGGCTGTATATTCGGTTTTCATAAATTGTCCGAGCCCGTGGTGGCTGCCATCTTGCGTCGCTGTCTGTTTCAGAGTTCTCTGAAAGATTGAGAGACTAACTGTATCCCCAAAGACTGAAGAGAAAATGTTTTCCTTTTTTCTTTTTCTTTTTTTTTTTGACATGGAGTCTCGCTCTGTTGCCCAGGCTGGAGTGCAGTGGCGTGATCTTTGCTCACTGCAACCTCCGCCTCCCAGGTTCAAGCAATTCTTCTGCCTCAGCCTCCCAAGTTAGCTGGGGTTAGAGGCATGCGCCACCACGCCCAGCTAACTTTTTTGTATTCTTAGTAGAGACGGGGTTTCACCATGTTGGTCAGCCTGGTCTTGAACTCTTGATCTCAGGTGATCCACCCACCTCAGCCCCCCAAAGTGCTGGGATTACAGGTGTGAGCCATGGCACCAGGCTGAGAAAATGTTTCATTCTCAGCTGTTTACAGCCTACCTTTTTAATGGCTAGACCAGAACATTCACACAGGATGAATCCTCGTAGTAATTTTCCTCACCGAGGCAGTTGATAACAATTAGTCTATAACTAATTGTTTCCAGCTGCTCCCCTTTGATTAATCAATCAAAACAAATATATAACGGTTCTCCTGTGGTTTGATACTGCTAGGAGCCTAGCATGCCTAAGATGAAGACAAGATGACTGCATATGTTTAAAAGTCAGGGGAATAGGCTGGGCATGGTCCCAGCAACTTGGGAGGCTGAAGGGGGAGGATCACTTGAGCTCAAAAGGTCGAGGCTGCAATGAGCTATGATCTTGCCACTGCACTCCAGCCTAGACAACAGAGCAAGACTCTGTCTCTAAAAAACAAGGGTCCAAATGCCTGTTATATACTAGGTACTTTGTTAGATCATACATAGTATGGCAGGAATTCTAAACAAAAGTGCCAAAGAAGGTTGTGTGATGTGGCTCACGGCTATAATCCCAGCACTTTGGGAGGCCGAGACAGGTGGATCACCTGAGGTCAGGAGTTCTAGACCAGCCTGGCCAATAAGGTGAAACCCCATCTCTACTAAAAATACAAAAATTAGCCGGGCATGGTGGTGGGTGCCTGTAATCTCAGCTACTCAGGAGGCTGAGGCAGGAGAACTGCTTGACCCTAGAAGGTGGAGGTTGCGGTGAGCCAAGGTCACACCACTGCACTCCAGCCTGGGCAACAGAGCAAGACTCTGTCACACACACAAAAAAAAGTCAGGGGAATAAGGACTGGAGTGGCCAAAGCAAGTTCAGCATGGGAGGATTAGGTAGGATTTAAAGGAGAGACGGTGACTCATGCCTGTAATCCCACTTGAGGCCAGGAGTTTGAGACCAGCCTGCCCAACATGATGAAACTGCATCTCTACTAAAAATACACAAATTAGTTGGTCATGGTGGTACGTGCCTGTAATCCCAGTTACTCAGCTACTCGGGAAGCCGAGGCAGGAGAATCACTTGAACCCAGGAGGCAGAGGCTGTAGTGAGCTAAGATTGTGCCATTCTACTCCAGCCTGAGCAACAGAGCAAGACTCTGCCTCGGAAAAAAACAAAGAAACAAAAAACAAAAAACAGGAGAGACAAAAGGAGAGTTATTTCAGACCCAGGTAAAAAGAGCAAAGGCAAGACAGTGTCAATTTTTGGCTCTCATTTCTCTTTGTGCCCTTCCTCTGCAATGTTCCTCTTACAAAGTTGTGTTATACTACTCCTAATGGTACTACTAACACTTGTGATAATTACATAAGTAGTTACTTAATAAATAATCCACATAAGTCCTAGGCATCACTTGGCCTAGTTTTGGAGTAGTATAACATTCAGAGGAAGAACCTAGCAACCAGAAATGAAGCTAATTCCTATGTATATTTTTCTAATTACAACTCACAGTAACACTTCTGAAAGTCACCTCTCCTTCTATGCCTATAGCTCTCCATTCAGCAGCTGCCTAAAGCCCCTCTTTTTTTTTTTTTTTTTTTTGAGATGGAGTCTTTCTCCGTCACCAGGCTGGAGTGCAGTGGTGCAATCTTGACTCACTGCAACCTCCACCTCCCATCCCAGGTTCAAGCGATTCTCCTGCCTCAGCCTCCTGAGTAGCTGGGACTACAGGCATGTGCCACCACGCCCAGCTAATTTTTGTATCTTTAGTAGAGATGGGGGGGGGGCGGTTTCACCATGTTGGCCAGGACGGTCTTGATCTCTTGACCTTGTGATCAGTCTGCCTCAGACTTCCAGAGTGCTGGGATTACAGGCGTGAGCCACCGCACCTGGCCAGAGCCTCCTTCTTTATATTTCTCGGTACCCGAGGGGGTCAGTTAGGGTTGCATTCAGCTTCATGGAACTGAAACCTGGAAGTACATGCTTCACAAAACAGAAGTTTTATTTTTTCTGTAACCAGAACTCTGGAGGCAGGCAGTTCAGGGCAGGTACAGCTGCTTGAAGAAGCATCAGGGACCCAAGCTTCCTTTAGCTTCCATCTTTTGCAAAATGCCTGCTTCACCTCTAGGCTTTGATCTATGTCTCAGCAGGAAGAAGAAAGAAGAGCAAATGGCGAAAGATCTGTGCTATTGCTGGAAGGTTCAGCATTTGGTGGCATCAGCAGGTGGATCAGCCTTGTTGAGTGGGAGCCCTGCTACTCTGTATTTGCATCCTTATCTCTGATGTTCCCTTGAGGGATGCCAGTTTTTAAAAATTTCGACTGTTGGCTGGGTGAGAGGGGGTGAGGTTTCAGAAGCTTACCCAGGTATGGCTTTGGCCTTTCCTACTATGATAACTCTTGCTCCACAGGCCAAGGAACTAATATAGAGGTTCTGCCAACCACCAATTATGTCCATGCAATTAGCTGTCCATTCAGCAGCTGCTTAAATCTCCCCCCACCTTTTTTTTGAGACACAGTCTCACTCTGTCATCAGGCTGGAGTGCGGTGGTGCGATCTTGACTCACTGCAATCTCCGCCTCCCAGGTTCAAGCGATTCTCCTGCCTCAGCCTCCTCAGTAGCTGGGACTACAGGTGTGCACCACCATGCCCAGCTAATTTTTATATCTTTAGTAGAGATGGGGTTTTGCCATATTGGCCACGATGGTCTCGATCTCTTGACCTTGTGATCTGCCCACCTCAGCCTTCCCAAGTGCTGTCCTCCCCCATTCAGAGAGTACAAGGACTCATCACTATATACCCTTGCTGGAAATCCAGTCTTCCCCAGTCATTAGGTTCTGGAAATTGGCTCAGTTTGAAAAACAGGGCAAGGGATTGTGACTATTGGGGTAGCTCCTCTCAGCCACCTCCTTATCCATCCCTGTGTTTTAAAAACTACACATTGAGGCACACAGTATCCTACTAACTACCTCCACAGCTCCCTGTGCGTCAGGCCCCCTTGGATGCCATTCTGTCTTGCCACTCCTAACAATGCTACTTAATCTTCTGCTGGTTAAGCACTGCCATCTGGTCTCTAGCAGGCCCACTGCTGTCAGGGTCCCTAGCTCCTGAAACATCTTCCATATCAGCCCCGTCCACAGAGAAGAGCGACTACTGGACTTCTCAGTGATGCTTGTGTCCTTCTCAACAGCACATTGCTTATTGCTTGTGATAAACAGGAGAACACAGTTGACAGGATAGGTGGAAAATCATTCCCACGTCTGAGCCATTTGCTCCCTTCTTCCATTGTTTGCCAGGACAGCTTGGGCTTGTTTTGCTTAGTGTGGACCACTCGTTTCTCCAAGCTTTCTAGAGCCATCCTTGCAGCCTGTTAGCTTTATCTCCTGGAGTCCTTGCCAGGGTGTAATTACTGTGGTACAGGAATGTGCTTATATCAATACACTGCTTTATCTAGCATTATTTTCTCCTCCCTCTAATTCGGCATGCTGGGGATCCCTTCCCTGTTTCTCCCACCTTCTGCAGGGATATATACGTTGGGTAGGTTGTTCAGCTCCTTCAGGATATAGTACCTCTCTTCCCTTAGCAGGTCTAGCATTTTCTTAATTGGGGTTACGTGTGACTTGACCTTATTATCGGTCTGTAAGGTGGAAAAGTTCAGGTAGATCCTGAGGAGAGTGTGTGTTGCTTTGTAAGGTAGATACTACTTCTTGATCTTCAAGCAAGGGGTGTGGGGTGCTAGTTTCTTGCTGGGAGGAGTGGGACACTTCTACAAACCCAGAACACTCACGGTGATGTGAGGTTTTAAGGTTCTCAAATGTGTGGACCCAAATGCTCCAACTAAAGTGTCAGGGTCCCACTTCTCAACTATGCCCCTGACTTTGGCATAGCAGACTCACTAGGGCTGAAAACCTTTTTGGAGTTCTGCTGCTCTTACAATTAAACCTTGAACTTGTTCTTCAGCATTTTCTGCCTTGTGCTGCTCCGACTTTCTTTATATGCTGCTAGGAAGGCACTCTGGCTTTCTTCCTTAGCCTTTAATTGGTGATTAATCATCCTCAACCTTTCATTGTCTTGCTCCAAAGCACAGGTGTACTCCATCAGTAGTCATCCAATTTCATTGCTCTTAAACTACTATTTGCCCCATATTGTTAAAATGCCTGATAGATTGCACCTATGAATGCATTCTTCCACTGAGGTTACCTGCCATCCATTCTAGCTCTTCACCATTGCTGAAGTTTTAACATTGTACTGCTACAGCCTGCCAGGGCCTATCAGGGCTTCACCTGAGGACTTCACTGCTAACTGGCCAGGGGGATGATTCAGCTCCACTAGATCAGACCACATTTATGGGACATTTTTGTCTGTTTTGATACAGGGTCTTGCTGTGTCACCCAGCCTGGAGTGCAGTGGTGCAAACATGGCTCACTGCAGCCTCTACCTCCTGGGATCAAGTGATCGTCCTCCAGCCTTAGCCTCCTGAGTAGCTGAGACCACAGCTGCTCACCACCATGTCCTGTTTTTTTTTTTTTTTCTTATTTTTTTTTGTAAAGATGTGGTTTTACCATGCTGGCCAGGCTGGTCTCGAACTCCTGGGCTCAAGAGACCCACCTACCTCAGCCTCCCAAAGTGCTGGGATTACAGGCCTGAGCCAATGCATCTGGCCATACTCATGGGACTTAATTGCCCTTGGGATCAACATCGTGCAGGAAAGGAACAGGATTAGGCCGTGTGCAGTGGCTCACACCTGTAATCCCAGCACTTTGGGAGGCAGAGGCAGGCGGATCACAAGGTCAGGAGTTCCAGTCCAGCCTGGCCAACATGCTGAAACCTGTCTCTACTAAAAATACAAAAATTAGCTAGGCATGGTGGTGCGCACCTGTAGTCCCAGCTACTTGGGAGGCTGAGGTAGGATAATCACTTGAACCCAGGAGGTGGAGGCTGTAGTGAGCCAAGATCGTGCCACTGCACTCCAGCTTGGGTGACAGAGTGAGACATCATCTCAAAAAAAAAAAAAAAAGAAAGAAAGGAGCAGGATTGAACAGAAAGAGAGAAGTTGAACTGAAGGTAGTCACAGCAAAAGCCTCAGCTTCCAGATCCACAGGGAGCTCTAGAGCCTGGAGAGCCCTTCAGAGCAGCCCCACCCTGAGCCCTGCATCTGCCAGTCGGTCAAACAGACCAGGTGACAGGCAGCTCTCTTCAGCTGAGGGCAACTCCTGGAAAGGGATTTAGCTGATAGCTGTTGGCGAGTAACATGCCCAGCAGCTGAGGAAATGAGCACCTTATTCCTGAAGAGTGGTGTGCTCTTTGGTATGCGGGGGTGGTTGGTCTTGCCAGTGGAGATGGGGGTGGTGGGTAGAATGAAGGGAATGCTGCTGTAAAAACAATTTTTTTTTTGAGACAAGGTCTAACTCTGATGCCCAGGCTGGAGTGCTAGAATGCAATGGCACTATCACTGCTCACAGTAACCTTGACCTCCCAGGCTCAAGTGATCCTCCTACCTCAGCCTCCTAAGTAACTGGAACCACAGGCACATACCACCATGCCCAGCTAATTAAAAGAAAAAAAAATTTTGTAGAGATGAGGTTTCGCCATGTTGCTCAGGCTGGTCTCAAACTCCGGGGCTCAAGTGATCTACCCACCTCAGCCTCCCAAAGTGCTGAGATTACAGGCATGAGCCACCGCGCCCGGTTTGGAACAAACTCTTGAAGAAAAAATTGGCAGAGCTTGTGCCTGACCAGAAAACAGAGGCTGAATGAGAGAGATGCATTTAAAACAATACCAGATGCTAAGAGTTCCCTGAATACTGTTAGCAGTGCAGAATGGGGGAAGTTAGGATACAAATCGAATTCTGTTCGCCTCTTAAGCTCATGCCTTTTCACTAGACTAGAGCTGGTCAAACTGGTGTTCCATGGGCTAAATTCAGACAACAGACATATTTTGTTTGGCTGCTCAGCATTTAAAAAATGTGAATTGGCTGCCACTATGTAAAAATTGGAAGAGTTTATACATAAGTTCAGATCTCTAGATTCTCTTGAGTAACTAGAAGATCTAGCAACGCTGGGTCAACATTCCTGGATGACAGTAACTGGAGTTGAGTGACAGATACTCTTTTAAATGGGGAGAGTATCTCTTATCTGGATAAATGGAGGTGGGTATATGCTCCTTAGTTCACGACAGTATGCATTGCCTTCTTTGGGAATTTTTTTTTTTTTTTTTTGAGATGAAGTCTCACTCTGTCACCCAGGCTGGAATGCACTGGCACAATATCGGCTTACTGCAACCTCTCCCGAGTTCAAGCAATTCTCCTGTCTCAGCCACCTGAGCAAGTAGCTGGGATTATAGGTGTGCACCACCATGCCCGGCTATGTGTATTTTTTTTTTTTTTTTAAGTCGAGCTGGAGTTTCACCATATTGGCCAGGCTGGTCTCAAATTCCTGACTTCAGGTTGTCTACCTGCCTCGGCCTCTCAAAGTGCTGGGAGTACAGGTGTGAGCCACAGCGCACGGCCTTCTTTGGCATTTTTGTTTAGAATTCCTGCCATACTATGTATGATCTAACAAAGTACCTAGTATATAACAGGCGTTTGGACACTTTTATTTTTATTTATTTTTTAGACACAGGGTCTTGCTCTGTTGTCTAGGCTGGAGTGCAGTGGCGAGATAACAGCTTATTGTAGCCCCGACATTTGAGCTCAAGTGGTCCTCCCACTTCAGCCTCCCAAGTTGCTGGGACCACAGGCACATGTGAATTGTGGTAATTGAAAAAAAAGTTTTGGTAGAGGCTGGGGTCTCTCTATGTTGCCCAGGCTGGTCTTGAACTTCTGAGCTCAAGCAATCCTCCCCCCTTAGCCTCTAAAAGTTCTGGGATTATAGGAGTGAGCCACCACGACCAGCCCATTTGGACACTTAATACTGGTTCAGTAGAATTGAATGAATTTAATTGGAGAGGAAGTTGGGGTGAAGTCTAGGCCTCTGACTATAATGAGAGGCTTGGCACTTAGGGGAGGCAACAGAACAGGGAGTACAAATTGGGATGAATTAATGACATGCTGGCAGGAGCTTGAGTTAAGGAAGAAGAGCAGAGGGCCAGAGCCTGAAGTTTGGGTGTCTTACCACAGAGCTAGAGAAGGGTAGGCAATTGTGGAAGAAACTAGAGAAGGAGAGAAAAGAGAGGCACAGAAGAACTTCAGCAGCAGAATGCCAGGCAAGACAAGGGAGCTGAGGGTTTTGGTCAGTTGCGTCCAAGAGTAGGGCAGAAGATCAGGGAGATAGATAGGCAAAAAGCCATGGCAACAAGGAAGTAGTTAGAGACTTTCAGAGGAGGGCTCTGAAAAGCTTTTCAGAAAAGGAGAGGAAGGTTGTGGGTCTGGAAGTTTAGCAGCGCAGTGGAGGCACTGGAATACTATCTGGGGGTATGAGTGAGTGCTTTTTCAGGGGTCCTACTTGGGAAAAGCATAGATAGACATTCATTTAATATTCGTTCATTTCTTTCCAGCATTGTCATCATTCTGACATCATCTAAAAGAAATGAGTGTCTGCGTTGCATCCTTAAAGAAGAAGGGACCAAAGACATGTCCAAATTCTTTTTGTTCTAGTAGAATAAAACGTTAATATGTATTTTGGACAACCACCAACCTAGAGATTGGAAACTTTTCTCAAGGATATATCTCTCTGTACGTGGCTACTGGCTTTGTGGATTTTCTGTAGTAAAATTAAAATTCTAGTTTTGCTATCCCTTATCACCCAGTGTCTCTCTTTGTGGCCTAACTGGCTGATTAGCGTGTGGTTGAAATGCGTAGATTCATTTGAACATTAGCCTAGGGCCTGTGTGGCGTGGTGTCACCCTGTCATCTCACTGTGTGGTGTGGTGTCACCCCTGTCATCTCACTGTGTGGCATGGTGGCTCACCCCTGTCATCTCACTGTGTGGTGTGGTGTCACTCTGTCATCTCAGCACTTTGGGAGGCCGAGGCAGGGGGATCAATTGAGGCCAGGAGTTTCAGACCAGCCTGGGCAACATAGCAAGACTCTGTCTCTACAAAAAAAAAAAAAAAAAAAAAAAAAAAAAAAAAAAAAAAAAAAAAAAAAAAGAAAGAAAAAAAATTAGCCAAGCAGGGTGGCACTCATCTGTAGTCCCAGCTATTCAGGAGTTTCAAGTTGGGGGAATCACTTCAGCCCAGGAGTCTGAGGCTGGAGTGAGCTATGATTGAGCCACTGCACTCCAACTTGGGCGACAGAGTGAGACCCTGTCTCTGAAAAACAAAAACATTCACCTATGTAAAATGTATCGAGGAAGACAAATTTTAAGATTACTCATTTCAAAGTCCAATGCCAGACATAGATATATTATCCATTGTTTTGGATGTAATCCTCTTCCTGGAAAACTGGCAAAACCAATTCCACATGAAATCCTTTCAACTCTGGTACTGATTTTGTTTCAGGAGAACCATAGTCTGCCTCTACTGTCCTTGGAGTTAAACCTCATAGCTTTACTTCCTTACTCTGCCACCTGCCAACTCTGTGACCTTGGGCAAACCAAGGAACCTCTTGTGACCTATTCGTCAGTTAAATGAGGATAATGATATGTATTGAAAAGGTTTGTTGAAAGGTTTAAATATGACGATGAATATATTGAATTAATAATGTATGCGAGGCCCTAAAGGTGTTTTGAGGGTGGTGAAACTTCATTGTATTATCAACTGTGCGAAAGTTATATTAACTTGGGTGGCTTATGAGTTTAGCAGAGTGAGGATGGGCTTAAATCCCAATGCTAGACCCAATGGCTAGACCTCGATTGCCACTGGGTTTAGCATTGGGATTTAAGCGACCTCTAAAAAAGAAAAATCACAGAGTCTCTCTTTGGCCTTCCTTTTTTGTTTCTCAGCAGTCTACAAAACTACGAAGAACCCGAAAATCAGAAGTCGTGTGCTTTGTTTTTTCTGAGAGCTTAAGGCAGAGAGAGGCTGAGAGCACAGCATCCCTGGGAGATTAGCGACTGAGATCCAGGCGCTGGGAGAAAGGCTAGCCCCAGGGCGCCCTAACTTCTAACTCCGGGAGCAATCCAAACCCGGAGGCCGGCGGGGGAGGGGGCAGCCCTAGGTGGAGGCGGGGATGGGAGCAGATGCTCCGGGTCAGCTCTGGCGCTCGCCAGCTGAGCCCAGGGCCAGTCTAGGTGAGCCCCGCGGCAGTGAGGGACGCTCGCCCGTCGGCCCAGAGGAGTTAGGTGACGTCACCTCCAGGAGGACTCGCTTTTTCATTAATGAAACCGGCCGGCGCGGGCGCATGCGCGGCAGTCCCCTTTCCCTCTCGCTTCCCCCTCCCCTTTCCCAGCCGCGCTCTCAATCTCTAGCTTGCTTGCGCTCCCTCTCCCCGGGCCGTGGAAACGATCCCACTTCCGGTGGGGTGTCATGGCGGCGTCTCGGACTGTGATGGCTGTGGGGAGACGGCGCTAGTGGGGAGAGCGACCAAGAGGCCCCCTCCCCTCCCCGGGTCCCCTTCCCCACCCCCCTCCCCCCAGCCTCCTTGCCAACGCCCCCTTTCCCTCTCCCCCTCCCGCTCGGCGCTGACCCCCCCATCCCCACCCCCGTGGGAACGCTGGGAGCCTGCACTCCTCAGACCCACTCCTCGCCTCTTCCCTCACCTCAGCCCCCGCTCTTCCCGGCCCAGGGCGCCGGCCCACCCTTCCCTCTGCCGCCCCCCGGCCGCGGGGACGGGAGAGGGCCGGAACCCGAGCGGCCGCCCCCCCGCGACCGACATCTGGTCGACCCGGGAAGAAGCGGAAGGGGAGCGTGAGGGCGGCCGCCGGGCCGGACCCACCCGCCCCCCGGCCGCGGGGAGGACATGGCCGCGCACAGGCCGGTGGAATGGGTCCAGGCCGTGGTCAGCCGCTTCGACGAGCAGGTAACGGGCCCGTGGCGGGCGGGACGTGGGAGCGGAGTGGGGGTGGGGACAGAGTGGGTGAGGGGAGGTAGGAGCGGCCGCCTCCCCCGCGGCTGCCTCAGGCTCTGGAGGAAAGGAAGGGAAGGGGGGATAAGAGGGGGTGGCCAAGGCGGGAGGTGCGGGGTAGGAGGGGACGGCTGGGAGCTTGGGCTCCCTTTCCCTCCTAAGTCGGGGGGTGGGGCCTTGTCCCTGACCAGCCTCCGACCCTCCATCCCGCTTATCCCAGCCCTTCCGCTTGGGAATAGGGATGAGTGACCTGGGGGCGCCTTCAGGGGTGCGCCAACTGGATTTAATCACCCCCTTAGTTTTGTTTTGAACAGAGGTGGGTAAGTTTAGGGGTTCTCTCTTCCTCTCCCCTCCGTGATCCTCCTTACTGGGGACGAGCGAACCCTAAGGCCTGTCTTGTGTACCCCCAATAGGAGAACGATAACATTCCGCCCCTCCCCCAGTTTCTTCAGCTTCCTCTCCTGGAGGGGGAAGAGCAGAAAGCAAGGAAGACACAGGTTTTCTTACTTTCCGCTCCTCGTCTCATCCTGCCCTGAGAGCTTCAAGTGCACACTCACTGCACATCTTTGTGATGCCCCACAACGTCGTCCCCCCATATCCTGATGACACAGACTTGTCATTTTTTAAATTGCCATTTGCAGGGGAAAACGTGGTTCTGAAATATCTTCCTCTTCCTTGATAATTGCAGTCTCTTCTCCCCCTTTTTTTTCTTGCCAGCGGTCTGAGGAGGTGATGTATTCTCCAGTGAGAATGTTGGGGAGTAAGGGGAGAAGAGTGAAGGGAAAGTGAGAAACTGCTTGTGAGCCACTGACAACAGGAGCAGAGACAGCTGGGTTGTGGTCCTGGAGCTGGTTGTTCAGCTAGTGTTTGTTGTTGTTTTTGACTCTCTCCTCCCGGTTGACAAGAGAAGTTTCATTGAGAATATTTGGGATTAAAAAAAAGTTTTGTAGCTTGAGGAGGTGACTTTTTATCGCCAGGGTTTCACACGATTAATCCTGGGGCTGAAGGCACACGTAGCCTTTTGTCAGTGGAAGTTAGTTTAACTTTGTGTTGCTGTAGGTAGTTGGGGAAGGTTTAAGGGTACTTTTTGCAGCTGTGGTTGCGATGGGCTTCCTGTGATGAGGGAATTGTTTAAGATTGAGTCAATCTATTTTGTTTACTGGATATAATGGTAAAACTGACTGGGAGCTGAAGGGGTGGGGGAAGAGTTTCTCTCTTATTTGATCCATAAACATTTCTTTACCGGACTCAAAGTGTTTCAGACCTACATGAAAAATACCTAGGAGCAGGCAGAGGAAGTTGAGAAGAACCTATGTAGATAAAATTGAATTATGAAGCTGTCAGAGACTTGAAGGAATTATTTCATCCATTTTTCTGCTTCCAGACCCAAAGGCATACTATAAACCAAACTATACTACTAATCCATCTGAAGTTTAATGTTACTGTATATAAAAGATTGCATTATTGATAGAGTATTAGATTTAAAACTTGATAGAAAAGACTCTCTGTAACTTTAATAAAGGATTTAAATGGCACATAGAAGAAACTCAAAGCGGAACCTTGTGGACAGCAGAATCTGCATGTAGGAATTTGAAGGATTCATGCCGCCATTCTCCTCAATTTTTAAACGTTAAAAAAATTTATTTTCAGTTTTTTCTTAATTTTATTTTTTCGCTTCTTACCTGTTCATCTCTAGGCTTATTTACCATGGTGGAAAAGGTATTTAAAAGAAGCATGATTTTGATTATATGCCCAGCAATGCAAGAAACTGTTTTTCCTTCTGTCCCTAGTGTTAAAAGACCTTAAGGCTTCGTAGTTAGTTATGCATATTGTGGAATCAAACTCACCACCATCTGTTAAAAATTAAGGACATAAGTTTTTAAAACAGCATTTTTCTTCACTCCTTATGTTGTAATTAAGAGAAAGATATAGGCCAGGCGCGGTGGCTCACGCCTGTAATCCCAGCACTTTAGGAGGCCTGTGCAGGTGAATTGCCTGAGGTCAGGAGTTCGAGACCAGTCTGGCCAACATGATGAAACTTTGTCTCAACTAAAAATACAACAAAATTAGCTGGGGGCCAGGTGGTGCATGCCGGTCATCCTAGCTCCTTAGGAGGCTGAGGCAGGGGGAATTGCTTGAACCAGGGAGGTGGAGGTTGCAGCGAGTTGAGATCCTGCCACTCCGCTCCAGCCTGGGTGACAGAGGGAGACTGTCTGAAAAAAGAAAAAGACACATATGATCTATGAGAAATTCTTTTTTTTTTTTTTGGGGGGGGGGCAAGGTCTTGCTCTATGGCCCAGACTGGAGTGCAGTAGCTCGATCTCAGCCTCCCTCATTCAAGTGATTTCTCCTGCTTCAGTCTCCCAAGTAGCTGGAACTACAGGCATACACCATTTCTAGTAGAGATGGAGTTTCACCATGTTGGCCAGGCTGGTCTCAAACTCCTGACCTCAGGTGATCCACTTGCCTTGGCCTACTGCAAAGTGCTAGGATTACAGGCGTGAGCCACTGCTTACATTTCTGTTGAGCGGAGAAATAGCCCTGCATGTACTGTGAGATATTTGTATAAGAATCTTAATAGATTCAACTATTTATAAAACTT